CTTATTCCCATCATTTACCCAGGGCCCCAGGCTGATTTTCTGAAGGGGAGCAGTGCCATCTGCTGGCAGACTGAGGCTGTGCCAGGAGGAGGCAAGCTGGAACCTGGGTTCCCGCAAGGGATCTGTGTTTCAGGACCTCAGTCAGTGGGGAATTCACCACCGCACTGGCTAGATCATGGAAAAAGGGAGGGTATCTAAGGCTTGAGTGCTCCATTCTCATGCATTTTGGGTTCATGACCCAGGGAGGCATGGCAGGAAAGAAGAATAGCAAATCGATTCCTAAAGAGTCTCATCTGTGTAGGCGGCAAACTGTACCTACCCTGTGGGGTGGTAGTGAGGGTTATATGAAAAAGTGTAGTTAGAACACTTGGCTCAGAGCTATATAAAGTCAGAGGTAACGGTAGTGGCCATTATAGGCAAAGTCCCAGAAGCACAGAGAAGAGAGCTATGTGTTGTGGCACAGGTGAAAGTGTTGCAGAGAGGTGGCACATCTGCCACACTGCCACCCAACATTCTAGAATTTTGTGCCTGAGTATCACCTGTTTCAAGTTACATACTTAAGAGGAGGGAAGTCTCTTTTCTGGAAAGCGGGGAATGGGGTCCGGTGGGGAACAGAATCAAGAGACCCAGCACCCAGGCTCTGGCTAGCTTCTTAATGTAGCTATGGAACCTGAGCATGGCAGATGGCTTGCTGTGTCCCATGTTCCCCATGTGAAAGTGCTGACTGTGAGGACTCCGTAAAAATGCACAGAAACTTGCTCAGGACTCCCAGAGATAAAGGCTCGATAGGATCTTGTCAGGAAGAGATTCTGCTCAGCTGTGGAGTTTACCTTTCACGTCTCCAAAAAAGGGATCCCCAAGTCAGAATCAGGAGTCGTTCTGGTTCTGCTGCTAATTGGTTGTGTGATGTGAGTCAAGTCACTCACTCTCTCCGGGTCTCACTTTTCCCAGCTGCAAAATAAAGGAATTAGATGATCCTACAGGTTAGGTCTTTAACAGGAAGACCAGAGCCTTCTGCTTAATGACTGCTGTGATTTTTCATACACTTCGGGAAATATTTTCTTAGATCCTGGTAGGTTCTAGGTATAATGGGGCCAATTGGAGAATAAAACAACAGCTCTTCCCTGTCACACAGGGCCGAACGAAGTACTGGGAAGGTATCCAGCCGTTCTAGCTTTGGGCTGGCAGAATTGAGTCTCTCGCTTTTCGCTTCCGCCTTCCTGAGCAGCCAATGAGTACGTAGCAGTTCTCGTTTACACTAAAAACTACAAACCCCAGAAGTCAACGCGCGGGGCAAACTGCTCACGCGCCGATCAAGACTTGGTGGGCTCCGCCCCTAAAGGCGGAACTTCATTTTCACGCGACTTCGGCGCTCGTAGATATTCCTCCGCTCGCCCTGGCGTTCTCCTCCCGCCTCCTGCCAGTAAGCCTCGTGCCAAGTCGGGGGACGCGCGCGCGCGCGCGCAGCGTACGTAGCTAACGAGTGACGCATAATATGTGGGCCGCTCCGGAGTCGCGGTCGCGTTGTGTGTGAGTGAGGGGGAGAGAGTGCGGGACCTGAAGCGGCGTGTGTGAGCTGTGGCCGCTGGCGGGGTCAGGGGGGAGCAGCGGAGCCGCCCGGGAAGGTGAGTGGGGAAGGGAGGGAGACGGCTCTGTGGCAGGGGCGCGAGGGGACAGGGTGCATTGTCGGGCAAGAGAGTGGGCGCCGGGCTGGGGGAGGGGCGGCACCTGCCTGGGCCGCTGGCTGGGAGGGGGCGGGCCGGGCCTCCCGGGAGGCTTGGTCCTGGGCCTGACAGTACTTTTCATGCTCCAGATTCTTGGCTCAGGGTCGGGGCCTCCACGTCTTCCTCTAGTCCGCAAAAGAAGCTTTCCAAGAGTAACTCTTCCGCCCGGATTGGGGGGCAAGGGTGTGCCCGCCCCTGCCTTGGGGAGGGGCGCCTCTCATTCCTCTCATCACCTTTTATCTCTCAGTCCTCCCAGTCTTCGTTACGTACGGGCCGGGGGGTGGGGGTGGGTGGCTCCATCTTCCATGTCGTATGGCGGCCCCCTTCCCATACTGTGTCTACGCCTCTAGCTCCAGTCACCTGGGCCGGCTCTCTCCTCCCTCGGCCGCGTGCCACCTCCCCTTGCACCCGCCCGGCTCCTGGTCCGGCGAGGCGGGGCGGGCTCTCTGGGCACTCCTCCCACACCCCCCCTCCGCCCCCATGGTGGAGGGGAGGGGTGGAAGGAGAGGTGTCCGGGTCCTGCAGCTTAGAGCCAAACCTTGGAGTGCCCGCCAAGCTTCCCGGGATCCTATTTACGGGGGTTACAGTCGTTTTTAACTGGATGTCAGGCATTTGCTTAACTCCCTCTTCCTAGATGGTTTGCGTCTCACTTCCTCTTATTGCACTGTTAGCGCTTGGCTTTTGCTTGTGCTGAAGAAGTAGTTTTGGTCTTTTTGAGTCCCAGATGACTCGTCCTTGACTATGTCACATTGGCCTCAGTTTTTCCTTACTGTCTTTTCAATGAAGCCTTTTAATTAGTCTACAAGTTTTAATTATTAACAGCATCTTCCTGTTCTAAACGCTTTGTTAATGTACAGAGTGAGGGGTTCATTGGCAGTGTTGTCCTGTAATCTTGTCTCAGTTTACTTTTAAGGTTTTTGTAAGCTTGCATAATGAGACTCTTTAGGAATCGATTTGCTATTCTTCTTGACGCTGTCAAGATTTGGGTTTTGTATATTACACTTATTATCCATTTTCGAGTGGTGATATATTTTTGGATGTAAAGGAAATAATAGATACAGAATTTGGGAACTATGAAGGAAATCCTTTTATGCTCAACGTTTCTTGAGTAGTTGCTGAGCACAGTGTTTTTACTATGTTATCTGCTGTACGGTAGTTAAAATTTATTGAGGAGGAATCTGGTGGAATGAACCACATGTTGGTTTGAAGTGATTGAGGTTGGTTTGTTGCCAGTGTTGTTTCTGTCATGATCACGGACAGTAATAGAGTATTGTTATACATGATCTAATATGTTATACTAATTATTAGGTAAATTTTAGTTGAAGCTCCAAACTTGGGTTTTTTTCCCAGTGGGTTTTTTTCTTTCTTTCTTTCTTTCTTTTTTTTTGCGGTACGCGGGCCTCTCCCGCTGCGGAGCACAGGCTCCGGACACGCAGGCCCAGCGGCCATGGCGCACGGGTCCAGCCGCTCTGCGGCATGTGGGATCCTCCCAGACTGGGGCATGAACCCGTGTCCCCTGCATCGGCAGGCGGACTCTCAACCACTGTGCCACCAGGGAAGCCCCTTTCTTTTTTTTAAAAGAAGAGTGCTTACAGGCATTTGTTTCAGAATTGTAACCTTATGGGAATCCTTAACGTGAACTTTGTTTTAGGCTTTGGGATGGTTTTTGCCAAATAGGCCATATAGTATTGTGTATTAGAAGAGAACAGGTTTTATGGATTAACTCAGAAGTTAAAAAAGGTAACAAAATAGTGGAAAATGGTAGAGCTAGGATAGTAACATATAGTGAAAAAAATCTTTCTTCTACCTTTATCCTTCAGAAGATCAGTTACTTGCCACAAAAGTAATAGTTATTATCCGTTTCTTATATATTCTTCCAGGGACACACACAGACACACACACACACACACACACACACGCACGCAAAAGCAAAGAGTGTTCTTTGCTTTTCTCACTTGACAGTGTACTGAGACTTGGTCCAGATTAGGAAAGGAAATTCTTATTAGTTTTCTCCTACTTTATTTAGTTTTGGCTGGGTTGGGTCTTTGTTGCTGCGCATGGGCTTTCTCTAGTTGCAGCAAGGGGGGGGCTACTCTTTGTTGCGGTGCGTGGGCTTCTCATTGCAGTGGCTTCTCGTTGCGGAGCATGGGCTCTAGGTGCACGGGCTTCAGTAGTTGTGTCACTCGGGCTTAGTAGTTGTGGTGCATGGGCTTAGTTGCTCCGCGGCATGTGGGATCTTCCCGGACCAGGGCTTGAACCTGGGTCCCCTGCATTGGCAGGCGGATTCTTAACCACTGTGCCACCAGGGAAGCCCAGGTTATGAAAATTCAGAATAATGTAAATAAATTACTTAACCAAATGTCTGTCTCATACAGATATTCAGTAATTGGTAACTATTGTATCACATTAGGCCATAAATTCTGCATGTAAAATGAAATTGAATGGAAAATGAATACTTATCCATCTAGATTCAACACTTGTTATTAATATTTTGCAATGTTTTTTGTTTTTTGTTTTTTTTTTTAACATCTTTATTGGGGTATAATTGCTTTACAATGGTGTGTTAGTTTCTGCTTTATAACAGAGTGAGTCAGTTATACATATACATATGTTCCCATATCTCTTCCCTCTTTGTCTCCCTCCCTCCCACCCTCCCTATCCCACCCCTCCAGACAGCCACAAAGAACCGAGCCGGTTTCCCTGTGCCATGCGGCTGCTTCCCACTGGCTATCTACCTTACGTTTGTTAGTATATATATGTCCATGTCTCTCTCTCGCCCTAACACACCTCACCCTTCCCCCTCCCCATATCCTCAAGTCTGTTCTCCAGTAGGTCTCTATCACTATTAGGCCATAAATTCTGCATGTAAAATGAAATTGAATGGAAAATGAATACTTATCCATCTAGATTCAACACTTGTTATTAATATTTTGCAATGTTTTCTCTTAGTAGGTAGATGTGGTATATATTTATTTTGTGGAACCATTTGAAAATAAGTTGCAGACACAGCACCCCTAAATACTTTGGCAGGCATCCTTCAGGATAAAGACTTTTTTTTTGACCGCACTGCGTGGCTTGCAGGATCTTAGCTCCCCTACCAGGGATCAAACCCGGGGCCCCAGCAGTGAGAGCGCCAAGTCCTAACCATTGGACCATCGGGGAATTCCCTCTACATATTTTTTGTAGGGGTTTATATTATTCCATCGTATGGACAATGTTATCATTTAACCCTCGCAACAACTATTTCCATTTTACAGATAAGGAAATTGAGATTTGGAGAAGTTAAATAACTTGACCAAGATTTCACAGGTTTGTTGGCAGAGTTGAGATTTGAATGCTTGAACCCCTTTTCTACCAAGTACCAATTAAGTGGTCTTGGGGACTTCTCTGAGCCCTTTTCCTCATCTGTAAAATAAGGGCAGGGTGGTTGTGAAAATTCAGAATAATGTAAATAAATTACTTAACCAACTGTCTATCTCATACAGATATTCAGTAATTGGTAACTATTGTATCACTATTAGACAGGCCATAAATTCTGCATGCCACTTAAAGAACTCACTTTGGAACATGGTGAATTGAGTAATGTACCTTCACTGTCTTGTCTATAACAAGGTGACTGCACCTTTTGCATTTTGTTAATCTTTCACTGAGAGTAAAATGAATTATCATTGATATTATTATTTTAGTTTAAGTTTATATTTTCCCTGGGCAAGTGAATATTCCCAAAGTTATAATTATTTTTAGGCATAGTTAATTGGAAATTTTGAAAATGATACCAGAAGTACATGTGTGTTTCTAAATTGAACTCTAAAATTTTACTGTTTTGTTTTTTTTTTTTTGCGGTACGCGGGCCTCTCACTGTTGTAGCCTCTCACTGTTGTAGCCTCTCCCGTTGCAGGGCACAGGCTCTGGTCGCACAGGCCCAGTGGCCACGGCTCACGGGCCTAGCCACTCCGCGGCATGTGGGATCTTCCCGGACCGGGGCACGAACCCATGTCCCCTGCATCGGCAGGCGGACTCTCAACCACTGCACCACCAGGGAAGCCCTAAAATTTTACTATTTTAATGCCCTTGAGTTGACCTTTGTTAGAGGTAGTGTTTCTTTTAAACTTTGCCTTTATAAGCCCTTCTAGGCTGATGGCTTAAGTTATCCATTCCCTCCTGGACCTTTTTTCCCATTAAAAAAAATTTTTTTTGGTAAAATTGACATACCATAAATTAACAATTAACCGTTTTAAAGTGCACAATTCAGTTGCATTTAGTAGATTAACAATGTTGTGCAACCATTACCTCTTTTAGTTCCAAGACATTTTCATTACCCCAAAAGGAAACCCTACATTCATTAAGTAGTCACTCCCTATTTCCCCCTCCCCCAAGTCCCTGGCAACCACTAGGTAGCTTTCTGTATATGGATTTACCTATTCTGAATGTTTCATATAAATAAAATCATAGACTATGTGACCTTTTGTGTCTGACATTTTTTGCCTGGCGTATTGTTTTAAAGGTTCATCCACAGCTGTAACATGACTCAGTACTTCATTCCTTTCTATGGCTGAATAATACTGCATTGTATGAATATAACCACATTTTGTTTATCCATTTATCTGTTGGTAAACATTTGGGGTTGTTTCCACCTTTTGGCTCTTGTGAATATGCTTTGAACATTTGTGTACAAGTGTTTGAATATCTGTTTTCAATTTTTTGGGGTATATAACTTGGAGTGGAACTGCTGGGTCATATGGTAATTCTGTGTTTAACTTTTTTTTTAAAACTTTTTGAGGAGCCACCAAACTGTTTTCTATAGCTGCTGTACCATTTTACATTCCTATCAGCAGTGTACATTCTAGTTTCTCCACACCCTTGCCAGTGCTTATTTTCTAATTTTTTGCGTTTGGTCATCCTAGTCGTATGATTGGTATCTCATTGTGGTTTTGTTTTTCATTTCCCTAATGGCTAATGATGTTGAACATCTTTTCATGTACTTATTGGCCATTTTTATATCTTCTTTGGAGAAATATCTGTTCAAGTCCTTTGCCCATTTTTGAATCAGGTTTTTTTGTCATTGTTGAGTTGTAGGAGTTCTTTATATATTATGGATACTAGATCCTTATCAGATATATGATTTGCAAAGATTTTATTCCATTCTGTGGGTTGTCTTTTCACTTTCTTGATAATGTACTTTGATGCACAAAAGTATTAAATGTTGAGGTCCAATTTATCTATTCCCTTGTTGCTTATACTTTTGATGTCATATGAAAATCCGTTGCCAATTTCAAAGTCATGAAGATTTACCTCTAAGAGTTTTATAGTTTAAGCTCTTATATTTAAGTCTTTGATTCATTTTGAGGTAGTTTTTGTACATGGTGTGAGGCAAGGGTCCGACTTCATTCCTTTGTATGTGGATATCCAGTTGTCTCAGCACAATTTGTTGAAAGAACATTGGTCTTTCTAGTAATGGTCTAATGGTCTTTCAACAAATTCTTTCCCTGTTGACTGGTTTTGGCCCACTTGTTGAATATCAATTGACCATAAATGTGAGATTTTATTTCTGGACTCTCAATTCTATTGCATTGGTATGTATGTCTTTCCTTATGACAGTACCATACTATTTTGATGATCGTACTTTGTAGTTTTGAAGTCAGAAGTGTGAATTCTCTTAACTTTCTTCTTTTCAAGATTGTTTTGGTTATTCAGGATCCCTTGCAATTATATATAAATTTAGGATTGATGTTTGCACTAATGCAAGAAAGGTCATTGGGATTTTGGTAGGGATTGTACTGACGGTTGACCACTTTGGAGGGTATTGCCTTCTTAACAATATTAAGTAAGTCTTCTAATCCATGAACACAGGATGTCTTTCCATTTATTTAGGTCTTCTCTAATTTATTCTAGCAATGTTTTGTAGTTTTCCTTGTGGAAGTCTTGTGCCTTTTTGGCTTAAATTGATTCCTTAGCATTTTGTTCTTTTTAGTGCTATTTTAAGTGAAATTGTTTTCTTAATTTCATATTGGATTGTTTATTGCTTGTACATAGCAATACAACTAATTTTTGTGTGTTAATCTTGTATCCTGTAACTTTGCTAACTTGTTTATTAACTATAGTTTTTATTTATAGATTCTTTAGGATTTACTATATATAGGGTCATGTCATCTGTGAATAAAGATAATTTTACTTCTTCCTTTCCAACTTGGATGGCTTTTATTTTTCTTGTCTAATTGCTCTGGCTAGAACTCCAGTACAGTGTTTAAGTGGTGGAAGCAGGCATCTTTGTCTTATTTCTGATTTTAGGGGGAAAGCTTTTGGTCTTTCACTATTGAGTATAATGTTAGCTGTTGGTTTTTTTTTGCGGTATGCGGGCCTCTCACTGTTGTGGCCTCTCCCGTTGCGGAACACAGGCTCCGGACGCGCAGGCTCAGCGGCCATGGCTCACAGACCTAGCCACTCCGCGGCATGTGGGATCCTCTCGGACCGGGGCACGAACCCGTGTCCCCTGCATCGGCAGGCGGACTCCCAACCACTGCGCCACCAGGGAAGCCCACTTTAATTGATTTTCATATGTCGAACCACCCTTGTATCCCTGGGTTAAATCCCACTTGGTCATGATATCTAATCCTCTTAATATGCTGCTGCATTCATGTTTCTAGTATTTTGTTAAGGATTTTTGCATCTATTTTCATAAAAGATGTTGGTCTATGGTTTTCTTGTGATGTTTTTGTCTGTCTTTGGTGTCAGGGTAATGCTGGATTTATGTAATAAATTAGGAAGTGTCCCTCCTCTTCAGTTTTTGGAAGAATTTGAGGATTGATCTTAATTCTTCTTTAAATGTTTGGTAGAATGCACCAGTAAAGCCATCTCTCTCCTGCACTTCTAGGATGTGTCTTAAGAGATTAATTTTGTTGTTACCACATATTACTACTTTGCCCAGTCTGTAGGTCTCTTACCTTAGCATAAAATTTTACTGTTGAAAAAAATTGGTTAAATTATTGCCCCTCTCTACCCCCTGGCTAATACTCTACCAGATTGGCAAGGTCATAAAAACGAGGAAAGACTCAAAAACTGTCAGAGACCAGAGGACACTAGGGAAACATGCCAACTAAATGTCATGTAGTAGCCTGGATGAGATATTGGAACAGAAAAAGGACATGAATGGAAAAACTGGTGAAATCTGAATCAAGTCTGGAGTTTAATTAATATAATGTACCAGTTTTTGGTTTCTTAATTTTGACACCATATCACTATAAAATAACATTAGCGAAACCTGAACTGAGTTAGGGGTATATGGGAATTCTCCCTACTATCTTTGCAACTTTTTTTTTTTACAAATCTATAATTATTCCTATTAAATTTATTAAAAAAATGCATATATAGTTAGTAGATTGCAGTCAGAAATACAGCCTAGGTCTTCTCAAGTTAAGGTCAGAAATCCATATTGGTCACATCTGTAGTATATCTTTGGCTAGAGAGACTGAAAATGTGGATTCTTTGTAGAAAAGCATTTTAACTTTTTTTTCTTTTCTTTTTTGGAAATATTCTTTGGAGTAAGGGGTAGCTCAGGTGACATGAATCACTCTACTATTAGAATTGCGTCAACTTGATTAAAACATAAATGTTTAAAATTTCGAGAGTTGGTGGTAAATATATTTCTTTTGGTCTTATGGTAGAAGAGTGAACAATAATCCTAGATGAGCTAGTAATGCCTTTGTGGACTGAAACTTTTTACAGAACGGTTGCTATTTCTGTGAAAATACACATTTTGCATGGCAGGATTTGACATTTTGATCCTAAGACTGCTTTGGCAAAGAAGTTGATCTGTAAACCATCTAAACGTTTGGGTCTCATTTATTCCTTTTGGAGTCCCTTATAAACCTCTCTTCCCTGTGTGGATGTCACATGCGGCTCCTTCAGAGCCTGTCTCACCTCCCTGTCCTTTTGTACCCCTGGGCTGATCACTCAACCCAGCAACTTTTTATGCCTTTCTCCAGCCTCTTCTCCTTCCAGAAGATCAGCTGTGAGACAGATTAGGAAGGCTGAAGGACGAATGGGTTTATAATATTCTTTCTCAGCTTTCATGTTGGTAATGATATCCACTTCAGTTCTTGATCTGTTGTTAAGAATTAACAGGAATGTGTTGCTTATCTTTCATAGAACTTTCCCTGAAGACTTAGAAGAGCAGAATATTTCTGGGAGTAGTTTTTGCTGTATTCTGTATTTTTAAAAAAAAAAGCCTCAAAGCTTTGGACCTCAGAGATCTAGACTTGGGATTATTATACATGTGGTGTATAGTTACAGGTTGTAGAGTGTTCCTGTGAAACCTTTCGTAAGCTGAAATGACTTGAAGAGGCAATTACCTTAGGACACATCTTGCTCACGGATGCATAGAAATTGAGATAAAGCACAGATGCTCACAGGCACAATTCAAAGCTGTAGCAGCTTGCTGTTGAGTGTAGTTCCCATGGAAGGAGCTTGGTGGGACCACTCTCACTGCTTGGGGTGCACACTGCATTTATAATGGCTCGCTGCAAAGCAAACACAACGCTGTTTTTGCTTTTCGCCTTTTTTTCGTAAAAGCAGAAGTCCTCTTCAGATTTCTTTGGGTTAACAAAACCAGATACTAATGTAGTTCTTTCATAAAAACGAAGTGGCATAAAGCAAACTTCTCTGAAAAGCAGGGATACCTGTATGTGTGTTTCTGAGGGGAGAAAGGAACCATAGGTTTTATCTGATTCTCAGGAATTCCTGATCCTAGAAAGGTTGAGAATCATGATTTTGATCCAGTACCCTGTCTCATTTGACAGTCTAGCAAACTGAAGTTGAGAGAGAAGAAAAGACTTGTCATGACTTGATGGGTATCCAGGCTCCCAATCCTGGGTTTCCCACTGTACCACAAATAAAATTATCTACAGGGTCCAAGGGTTAAATTTCCCATGCTTTTAGTTATTTCCCTTGATTGCACATCCCTTTTTTCCTCCCTCCTCACTTTTCTTTTCATAGGAAGTATGTCAAGTTTATTTGCCTGTGTTCATTTGTGTGTGTGTGTTTTTCTTTTTCTTTTCTTTTTTTTTTTTTGCTTTCTTAGGCCAAGTCATGACTACAGTAGCGGTACATGTGGACTCCAAAGCTGAGCTCACTACCCTGCTGGAGCAGTGGGAAAAGGAACATGGCAGTGGGCAGGACATGGTACCTATCCTTACCAGGTATGAACAATTAAGTTTTTTTTTTTTTTAATAAAGGAAAAATTGGGAATTCCCTGGCAGTCCACTGCCGTGGGCCCAGGTTCAATCCCTGGTTGGGGAACTAAGATCCTGCAAGCCACACAGTGTGGCCAAAAAAAAAAAAAGGAAAAATTGGAGAATGTTACAGAACATTTTCACTTTGTGAATTTTCTGTTTTTTGTTTTCCATAGAAGTTTTTTTAATGATTCTACTTAATAAAATATTTGTTTGCAGGAAGAAAAAAATTTTCCCAAAACTAGAAAAGCATTTTTAAAGCAATTTTTCAAATTACAATGTTAAACTCATCTCCAGCTCTGTAAAAGTATATGACATGAGATCTTTAAAGTTTCACTGCATTTCGGGATTGTTCTTGGAAAAGATACTCTGCCAGAAAATCAATGGGGTCATTGGGTCTGACCTTACAACACTCATTCAGACCCTGCATAAGCGTTGGCATAATGTAGGCCATTAAATAGTTTCTCAGGAGAATAGAATGGGCCTTCAGTAATTCTCTTTCTTCTCTTTGCACTTCCTCTAGTTTATTCTCACTTCTCAGAGCAAAATAATTTCTGGCTACCCAGAAGAAGCAAAGTGAGAGAGAGGAAGGAAGGAAGGAAGGGAGAGAGGGAGGGGAAGAGAGAGAGACAGAAAGACAGAAGGAAGGAAGGAAGGAAATAAAGGAGGAAGGAAGGAAGGCTCACTTCATGAATTCTCAATCCATTTTTTTCCCTGTCAGAACTAGTCTTTTATCTCTCTACTTCTTGAACCTTTTAAAATTTCTTCCCTTTCCTCTCAGGCCCTTTTGTTGTCATTCTCTTTCCAAGGTTCTTCTCCTGCCAATGTTCTAGCGCCAAGGTTTTGTTTGTGGTTCTCTTCTCTCTTTACCCTAAGTATTCTACCTAGATAGTTTCATCTCTGTCCATGATTTAAAAAATTATTCTCATGTTAACTTTCAAATTTCTATTTTCACTTCAGACTCCTCTTCTTAAAAATTTCAGACCCATTTTCTCAGCTGATTGGTGTACACATGTTTACCTGGTTATTCCACAGACACCTGAAACATACTGTGTTCAAAATAGAGCTTATCATCTTCATCCTACCTCCCTCTTCATTCACAGTTTGTGCTTTTGTACTCCCTGCCTTGGTGTAAATAGTTATAAACTAAAAACTGAAAACCATTCTCCCTAGTGTATTCCTTTACTAGCACAACTTAGTCACCAAGCCCTGAGGGTTTCTGCTTCCTCTTCTTCCCCATTCCCACTTCCTTTATTGGGTATTGATCATGTCTTGACTGGCTCATTAGGCAGTGTGCATTATCCCTCTGTCTGCAGTTTACCCTCTTCTAATATATCATCCCCTTTGCTGAAAGATTTATCTTTTTCATACACAAATCTGATTGTTATACCTCAGCTCATAATTCTTCCCTGGCACCCTTTTCCTTCAGAATGAAATGTAATTTAGAGTGGCCTATGAGGCCATTTATGATTTAGTCTGTACTTCCTTTTTCTGCCTCATAGTGTTGTTCTTCAGAGAGGAATAGAACTATATTTTCCAGTGTCTCTGTGCCTTTACACTTGCTGTTTCTTTGGCCTGAAATGCCTTTCCTTGGTATATCTGCCTGGCAAGCTCTAGTCCTTTCAGGAAGCAGTTCAAGAATCATGTCTTGGGGCGTCCCTGGTGGCGCAGTGGTTGAGAGTCCGCCTGCCGATGCAGGGGACACGGGCTCGTGCCCCGGTCTGGGAGGATCCCACATGCTGTGGAGCGGCTGGGCCCGTGAGCCATGGCCACTGAGCCTGTGCGTCCGGAGCCTGTGCTCTGCAATGGGAGAGGCCACAACAGTGAGAGGCCCACGTACCGGAGGGGGGGAAAAAAAATCATGTCTGTAAATGCCATATGATATCACTTATATGTGAAATCTGAAATATGACACAAATGAACCTATCTAAGAAACAGAAATGGAATCATGGACATAGAGGTTGCCAAGGGGGTTGGGGGAGGGATGGAATGGGAGGTTGGGATTAGAAGATGTAAGCTTTTATATATAGAATGGATAAACAACCAGGTCCTACTGTATAGCACAGAGAATTATATTTAATATCCCATGATAAACCATAATGGAAAGGAATATTTGAAAAAAGAATGTATGTATATGTATATATATGTATAAATTAATCACTTTGCTGTACAGCAGTAATTAACACAACATTGTAAATCAGCTATACCTCAATTAAAAAAAATCTTCCCCCCATTTTAATTACCACTTGTATTGTAATTATCTTTTTACATGTATCTCCTCACTAAATTGTAAGTTTTTTTTTGAAGTCAGGTACTACTCGTTTTTATTGGTGTCTCCTTGTGTTGCCTCAGACACTGACTTGCCCAATGCTTGGTACATAGTAAACTGTGTGGGACATAATTTTATTGAATGAATGTGTTAAGGAAGAAGAGAAAGTGAAAAAAAAAAGGCTGGGTTGGGATGCCCATGGTTTTTCTGAGCAGGAAGCCTCTGGAACATGGGGCTCTTTAATATCTAACCTGTAATATCATAGCAGAGAAAAAAAACTTTGTTTATGCAATGATCTATTCTCTAGGGATAAAGAGAACTATGATCTTATGGAAGTTTAAACAGGGATAAATGCTTTGTTCATAATTGCTCTTGATAGATGGGGAACATGTGAAAGTACAGGTTTTTTTTTTTAGGGAAAGGATTATTGCTGACTGGTGGAAAGTGGATTTTCATTTGTAGAGGCATTGGAGATTAAGAACTATTAATCGCAAGCTACTTGAAGTGCAGCCACAGTGAATTAAAGAATCTTAAGTATTGTGCATTTAATGTGTATGGATTATTGATTGATGTACCTTTGAAAGGAGGCGAGGGTCATGAATGGGGATGATAGTGTTAGTGGTAGATTCATTTAATTGCTCAAAAGATACAAAATATTTTTTAATACTTTATTTTCGGGAATTCCCTGGCGGTCCAGTGGTTAGGACTCAGTGCTTCCACTGCTGGGGCCCGTGTTCAATCCCTGGGCAGGGAACTAAGATCTTGCAAGCTGTGTGGTGAGGCCAAGAAAAACCCAAAAACCAAGAAACTTTATTTTCAGGATTACTTCATATTAATTATCATATTTGACCCTGAACTTTGTCATTATGCTATGGTATTCAGCAGTGCAAAGCCTAAATGGAGGGACCCTATCTTCAAGGAGATAACCATCTGGGAGGCAACTAATGGCTCCAAAAAATGCATAGTAGTACAAAATAGCATATAATGAAGTGCTAGATTGGCAGTGTGGTTTGTAAATATTCTAGGGGTTAGGAGAATGGAAAGAATTTGAATGAGTCCGTTTCTTCTATTCATTCAACAAATGTTTGAGGACCTTTTGTGTGTCAGAACTGTAGGAGACACTTCTCTGAACCTCAGCTTCTTCATTTGTCACTAAAAGTATGAGAGCTACATTGTTAAATAATAGCCGCCATCCTCTGAGCTGCTTGCAAAAGACTATAGGACTTCTCTGGTGGTGCAGTGGTTAAGAATCCGCCTGCAATGCAGGGACCACGGGTTCGATCCCAGGTCTGGGAAGATCCCACATGCTGCGGAGCAACTAAACCCATGTACCACAACTACTGAGCCTGCGCTCTAGGGCCCGTGTGCTGCAACTACTGAAGCCCGTGCACCTAGAGCCCGTGCTCCACAACAAGAGAGAAGCCACTGCAACGAGAAGCCCGCGCACCACAACAAAGAGTACCCCCCTGCTTGCCGCAGCTAGAGAAAGCCTGCGCGCAGCAACAAAGACCCAACGTGGCCAAAACAAACAAAAAAACAAAACAAAAAAACCCCAAAAGACTATAGCCAGGCAGTAGAAAGATAAGGTTAAAATACTGGGTTTTAACTCCAATTCCAGTGGGCTTTCCAGTGTAGGATGTGGTAAAGGTTCCTTGGAACAGGGACTTGAAAGTTGGTAGAATATACCTTGATTGAAAGCAGAGACAAAGTTTTCTAGGAAAAGTTCACATGTGACTGAAAAATGTATCTAGGGGAGAATGAACTGGGGCATGTTTTTGTGGCAGTGAGGAAATGGGCCCCACCAGAGTGGAGGGTGAATATAAGGTAGGAATGGAAGATAAAGTTATATGGAGCAAGATCTTAAAAAGATCTTTAAGGTTAGACTGGGACTTTAGGAGACAGTAGGATGAATTCAAAGTATAGTTTATTTTAGATAGGGGCAGAACTCTTACCATCCTTCAAATTGTGGGTCTGTTAGTTCACTGGCTATTTCCTAAAGTACCTTCACATCTGTCATCCCTCTCACCCTGCAAACTGGCTTCAGTTTGGGTATATTGCATGAAAAGCAAATGAATTTCAGGCCTACCTGCTCCTTTACTGACTATTTTTTTAAATGATCTTTTGGCTATTTTCCTAAGAAAAATGTACAACTCTATAACTTGATTGACTTTTTATTCTTTATGTTGTTTTATTTATTATAATCAAGACTTTGACTTAATTCTGTGAAAAAGGATTGGCATTGCACCAAGCTATATAAGCTTAACCCAGGTTTTGTGTTTTTTTTTTTTAATATTATTGAGATATAATTTATAGTCCACCCACGGTTGCTTGACTCTGTGGATGTGGAGGGCCAACTGTACTATGCCATTTTATACAAAGGACTTGAGCATTAGAGGATTTTAGTATCCCTGGGAGGTCCTGGAACCAATTCTCTGTGGATACTGAGGGATGGATTGTTTACTTAAAAAATCATCACCTGGATCAAATTATAGAACTTGAGTACTACCTCCAGAAGGCTCCCTCCTGCCCCATTGCATCAATATCTACCTTAGATTAGTTCATTTTCTATTTGTTATTGATTCCCAGTTTCCATAGGGACACCACCTAAATAGCTCTGACTTAAGTTCTGTTTTAAGCAGACTACATATATTAACTTTAACTTCAGGGAAACTCTGTAAGATAGGGACTGTTATCCTCATTTTACAGATTAGGTGCAGAGAGGTTAAATAACTTGACCGAAGTCACAAACAGGGGAAGAGATATGATTTGATCACTGGCCATCTGGCTCCAGAATCCATGTTTTTAACTTCTGCTGTGCTATATTGCTTAGTTTCCACTGAAGATACTAGTAGATCTTATAATATGTAATTTAAAATACATTTTATGTGATCATCCTTTGTGGCAAAGAGAGTTTTCAGAGTTTAGGGGGAAGGGTAGAAAAGGTAGAAATACTTCTGAGGCTTGATGGGGAAAAATATACCAGAGTGGGCAAGAATTTTTGCAGGGAGCTTAACCCTTAAGACTAGAAAGTATGATTTTGTGGAAATAAAGCATGCAGGAAAATTTGAGTTAGTATAGAGCGTCCTAGATACTGGAGAGCATGAAAGCCTTTTATTTGATTGTCATTATAATAGGTTAAAATGTCAGTCCTTAGGGTACTCAGAAAGTGATTTTTCTTATTTAAAAAAAAAATGTGTGAATAAAAAAGAACAGTTGATAACATGCAACAACATGGATGACTCAACGTGCTGAGTGAAAGAAGTCAAACATAAAAAGAGTATATGTGGAGCTTCCCTGGTCGTGCAGTGGTTAAGAATCCGCTTGCCAATGCAGGGGACACGGGTTCCATCCCTGTTCCGGGAAGATCCCACATGCCGTGGAGCAACTAAGCCCGTGCGCCACAACTACTGAGCCTGCGCTCTAGAGCCCACGAGCCACAACTACTGAAGCCTGCATGCCTAGAGCCCGTGCTCCGCAGCAAGAGAAGCCCACGCACCACAACGAAGAGTAGCCCCCGCTCGCTGCAACTAGAGAAAGCCCGCACGCAGCAACGAAGACCCAACGCAGCCAAAAGTAAATAAATAAATAAAATAATCTAAAAAAAAAAGAGTATATGTGATTTCATTTATATGAAATTGTAGAACAGGCAAAACTAATCTTTAGTGAGAAAAAGTAGGTGAGTGGTTGCTTAGGGCAGGGGTGGGAACCTGGGTGGGTGGAAGAATGTTACAGGCTGAGGTAACAGCACCTAGAAAGGTCCTGAAGCAGTTACGAGTTTGGACTCTGAAGAGCAGGGAAGGCCATATGACTGTAGCTTAATAAAGGAGGGTGGAGGAGTACAAGAAGTGGTCATAGATGCAGACAAAAGCCAGGTTACTGTAAACCTTGTAGTGCTTGGGTTTAATTTAAGTTGAGGGTAAGTCATTGAAAGTTGGAGGTGTATTGTGTCAGGTCAAGCATGGAAGCAAGAAACAAGGAGACCAGGGAAAAGCCTATTGCAGGTAGTCCAGAAGTTGATAAAGGTGGTCTGGACAAGGGTAGGAGTGGTCAAGATTTAAGGAAATGATTGAAGTCAGGAGATATTTTGTAGGTAGAGCTTATAGGAATTATTGCTGTGGGGGATGGGGAAAAAAGGACAGTTTTAATGATGACTCCTTGTTTTTGGCTTCTGAGGGGATAGTGCTATTATTTGAGACAGGAGAGTTGGAGAGAAGAATGAATTTGGGAGTGGAAATTGTTTTATGAGATAGTTGTTTAGGTCTTTATGTTTGTTAGGAAAATACCCTTTTTCTAATTTTTTGCTTTTATTTTGTACCTTGATTGTTTGACTATTGTAGGTAGTGATACAATTTTTTTGTATGCTTGTCTAGAATTGACCCTGTCTTCTCTTTGTGCTAGGATGTCTGAATTGATTGAAAAAGAAACTGAAGAATATCGTAAGGGGGATCCAGACCCATTTGATGATCGACATCCTGGTGAGACTATGTTCCTTTAAGCCTGGCTCTAATTTTCTTACAAAAGAAAACTGCTTAGGGCTTCCCTGGTGGCACAGTGGTTGAGAGTCTGCCTGCCGATGCAGGGGACATGGGTTCGTGCCCCCGGTCCAGGAAGATCCCACATGCCGCGGAGCAGCTGGGCCTGTGAGCCATGGTCGCTGAGCCTGCGCGTCCGGAGCCTGTGTTCCGCAATGGGAGAGGCCACAACAGTGAGAGGCCTGCGTACCGCAAAAACAAAACAAAACAAAAAAATGCTTAATATAAGGAACATTTTTCAATTGAAATAGAATTTATTAAAATATTGCTCAAGGTGGGGGCAGAGAGGAAAAATAAATTCCTGGAAAAATGGAAATACTTTTAATATTTACCTATTAAATGGAAGATTACTAGAAGCTAACTTAAAGGAACTAAATTATATAGATATACCTTATTGACTCAATTGATATGATTACAGAGATTTAAAAAGAGAAAAATGTTCTCTCTTTCTGACTTCTAAACCAAAAGGTGTTATCCTCTGTGCCTTCATTTTTCTAACAACAATAATTATCCTTTTACTAATGGGGAGATGTGGTTGAGAATACATTCAGTGCCTTGCTTTTAGTTATGAAATTGATGCTTGGAACCTTGAATAATGAATGAATGGATTTCTTGATGTCTACTTTAGTGTTCCAACAGCTAAAATATGCCATCTCATGTTAATGTGGTTTTCTTTTGGGCCAATTTAATTAGAGTCATGACAAACCAGCTTGCTTTGGCATGGAATTTGCTATAATACAGAACTGTATGGGACTTGAGACTGCTATTTTATGGTCTCTCTAAGTTAGCTTACCATTGGGCAAAGCTTATGTCGTGTGGGCCCACACTGCATATAAATTTTCTCTTTATAAAACCAGGAGTTCTTTTTGGAGAGAAGAGTCTGAGATTTTGTATGTGGAGAGATAGTGAGAATAAATGGGACTTATAAAAATAAGAACATTGTATATCCACCCAAATGTTCCAGGGTTTATTTCTGTTTCTTAGACTTTTATTCCCAAATGTAAGTAAGCTAAGCATTTCATATTGAGTGTCCAGTTGTTTATGTGATGTTACCTGCTGCTCTTGTCCTAGACATCCCCACTTGTGACTTTGAGAACGGCTATTGAGCTAACATCTTCAGTAAGGCAATCAGAGCATGAAATAGTAGGAAAGTGAAAAGAAATAAAGTTAATTCTTGGGATTGTGAAAAGAATTAAAGAGATGATCATGCTTAGTGACATTGCCTTAGAAAGGATAAAATGGTAACGAGGAAGAAGGGAGAGAAGAATGCCTTTTTTTTTCAGTAGAAATTTAAAGACAGTTTTTTTCCTTCCTAACTCTTATGTTAAGTCATATTTGTCATTAGGCATAATTTCTATTAATAAAAATAAGGGTCACAGTTTCATCTTTTATAAAGAGAGAAAGTTAAGTAATCTGATGTCCATGTTTGTTTTTATGGTACCATTCTCTAACTTCTGTTTTTGTGAATTACTTTGGGATATTAATTACAGCTTGGTAAAAACTTTATATCAGCAGCTTATATCTTTTCTTCATCCTAAATTGTATCCTTTGACAAATTTGCCACTCTGAAAGGAAAATTAAATTGATGATATCTCTTTTAAAAGCGAACCAGTAATTTTCCCAACCATTAACTAATTCTTTTACATTTAGGCTGTGTGTTGAGTAAATCCTAGGTTCCTGGCCTCCCTTCTTTCCCCAGGAGCTCAGAAGTTAAGATGACCAAGTTTATTTTATCTTTAGAATTGGTGATTGCTTGGTGGGATTGCAATGAACAATGAGTTGCAATGAGTTGCAATGAACAATGGAGTGTTCATTACAGGTTTGAGGACACATCTGTGCTGCTGTTGGCATTATAGTTGAGAGATTGGACTTGGAGCCTATCTTTTCCAGGCCACTCATCAAAAGAAGTTGTGCTTCCTTCCTTTCTTTGTCTGGGAAGTCATGGGTTTTCATTCTTTTAGGCTCCTTTATGATTCTTTTGTAGACCCTTGTATACTCTTAGTGATGCTGGTCTGGGTCTAGTGCTCATTTATTTAATTCAGCATTGATGTGTAGGCAATATGCTGGGAGATGGGAATGTTAGAGAGCAGTGTCTCAAATTTTTTATTGTCATTTTTAATTTTAAAGAATGTTCCTTATGAAATCTGATTCATCAAAAGAATTTTTTCTTTGTTTCTGTTAATTTTTGCTGGCCTTTTAATAGTACTTAAAACAACCCAGGTGCCTTTCCAGAGGTTTGAGTTGCTTGACTGGGATGACTTACTCATTCCTTTGTTTGTTCCTCCCCTCTTCTTTTGGTAGGTCGAGCTGATCCAGAGTGTATGCTGGGCCACTTGCTGAGAATACTCTTCAAGAATGATGATTTCATGAATGCAGTAGGTTTGCTTCTTACTTTTCTCTAGAGATTATCATCAGCAGATGCTGTACCTTTATTGTTTTTTTGTAAATAGTCTGTTTTTTCCTGAGGCCTTGACAAAGTTGGGAATAGAGTGGGTAGCTTTTTAAATTTGGTATCGGTTCAATGAAATAGACTAATCATGGACTTCTTTATTACCGAAGTCCTGGTTGTGGCCAAGGTGTTTTCTCTTTGGTGTGTACTTTGTTCAGTTGAATATTGGTGAGGTTTCCCAAGGCATCTGTGCTCATTCTGGGGTGAGATGATTTTGAGTTTGGGAATATAAGAGTTCTCTTGGGTTCTTGAATAGAAAAGTAAGAGTGATATGTACTGTATGACTCTGCACTGACACTATGGGTGTGTGCATGGGGCATGTGGAGGGAGAGAAAGGTGCCTTATTTAACTCCGGTCTGTTGAGGAGTAAATGAGCGTTAAAAAAAAAAAAAGTATGTATTACTCACAGCTCCTGAACACAGTAATTATTCAATAAATTGTGGCTGTTAGGTTTGATTTTGGAGGTGGAATAGCATGATGCTTGAGAGCATGGGCTTTGGGGTCCATGTTTTGGGTTTAAGTGCAGCTCCACTCTTCGTTGACATTTTGATCTTTAGGCAACTTAAGCCTCTCCAAGCTTTATTTTCTCAAAGCTTTATTTCCCTAATCTATGAAATAGGGATGATAGTTCTTACCTTAAAATGTTTTTGTACTCCTTGAATGAAATTAAGCATGAAAAGTGCTTAGTGCAGAACCTGGCACATGAGGGCTCAGTAATTATTAGCTATTATTTCAATCTGTATTATATTAATTCCCAATTTTATCACTGGTGTCTCTTTTCTGCTTCAGATCACTTCCAGCTGCCTTCTAGACGTTCCCACATGGATATTTCCCACGGGCACCTTGAATTCTGCATGTCTCATCGTTTGCCCCACAATCTCTTTCTCTTATGCTCTAGCTCAGTAATGGTGTCCTTTCCTAGCCAGCTGGAAGTTATCCTTTACTCCTGTAAGCTTTCTTATTCAGTGAACTTACAGGTCTTATTGTGCCCTCCCCCTTAACCTTCACAAATCCCTCCAGTTCTTTCTGCCCTTGTTGTCAGACCTTAGGTTAGCTACCACCATCTCTTGATACTGCAATAGCCTCTTAATTGGTTTCTCTTATCTTGTCCCAACCCATTCTTTACTTATATCCCGAAAATCTTTATCAAGTGCAAAAAATGATCATGGCATTCTCTTGCTTAAAATCCATTAGTGCTTTCCCATTGCTCTCAAGATAAATTTAAAATTTTTTATTTTGGTTTATAAACCCAATCTCATGGCCTCTGTTCTCTCATTTTCTGTTCCTGACCTTTGGCCCTCCTCTCTTTCCCACTCCTCCTTAGCTATTCCTACTTGTCCTTCATGTTCTCGCTTGGAATCCCTTCCTCTCTAAAGCCTTCTCTGATTCCTTTGCAGAGTTGTATGGCTTCCTACAGGCTTCTGTAGCATCCTGTACTTACGATATTTGTTTTTCCAACTGTCACCTCTTTTGGATTATGAACCCTTTGATGGTGGGACTGTGTCTTATTCACTGTTGTATACCCAGCAATAGAACACAGTGCCACTTAGAGATCCAGTATTTATTTGATGAGTGCCAAAAGGAAAGTTTTATTGATACATTTATATATATAAAATATAAAACTCAAATTTTTTCATTAACTATTGTCAAGAATCAGGGAGGGGTGAGGGGAGGCTTATCTTGCCCTGTTTTATCCTTCTGAAAAAGTGTATATGAGGATGGGGGGTGTTTTCTTTGTGATACGCCTTGAGCTTGAATTTCTATGGTTGCTGAGTTGTTTTAGGGGGATTTGACTTTAAAGTGGCAGAAGAAATTATATGGTATTATCATGGCTCAGCAGGATCATAACTATTTCTAATAATTACAGGTTTAATTAGTAATGTTAGGTATAGTCTTTAATACCCTTTAGGCAAGCTATGGGAATGTATTAAGGATTTATTAGTCGTTATTAATTTGATTGGGTTGAATTTCAGATGAGAAGTACTCCTTTTCTTTACAGCTGGTGAATGCATATGTGATGACAAGCCGAGAGCCCCCTTTAAACACTGCTGCTTGCAGACTCCTACTGGACATCATGCCAGGGCTAGAAACTGCTGTCGTCTTTCAAGAAAAGGTACTTACTAAAAAGAAAAGTCAACATTTTATTTTTTAGTTGAATGCTGATCTGCTTTTCTTTGTTAAAATAATTGTTATAGTTTTTTCTTATAGTAGTAGTCTATATTATAGAATCTTAAGAAATTAAGACAAACAATAAGAAAAATTTTTAAATAACTATTTTAGTGAGTACTTGCTGCTTGAGTGCTGTAGTCTTTTTTAAAATCTTAAGATCATGTTTTTAGATATGGATTTGTGGATTTAACGATTTATGATCGTATTCAAACTCTTATTCCTTTTTTTTTTTATTGGAATGTAGGTGCTTTACAATGTTGTGTTAGTTTCTGCTGTACAGCAGAGTGAATCAGTTATACATATATGTATATCCACTCTTTTTTAGATTTCCTTCCCATTTAGGTCACCACAGAGCACTGAGTATAGTTCCCTGTGCTATACAGTAGGTTCTCATTAGTTATCTGTTTTGTATACAGTAGCATATATATGTCATTACCAATCTCCCAATTCATCCCACCCTCCCTTCCCCCTTGGTAACGATAAGTTTGTTTTCTACATCTGTCACTCTACTTCTGCTTTGCTAATAAGTTCATCTGTACCATTTTTGTAGATTCGGCATATAAGCGATACTATACGATATTTGTCTTTCTCTTTATGACTTCACTCTGTATGACAGTCTCTAGGTCCATCCACGTCACTGCAAATGACATTATTTCGTTCCTTTTTATGACTGAGTAATATTCCATTGCATATATGTATCACATCTTCTTTATCCATTCTTCTGTCAATGGACATTTAGCTTGCTTCCATGTCCTGGCAATTGTAAATAGTGCTACAGGGAACATCAGGGTGCATGTATCTTTTTGAATTATGTTTTTTTCTGTGTATATGCCCATAGTGGGATTGCTGGGTCACATGGTAGTTCTATTTTTAGTTTTTTTTAAGGAACCTCCATACTGTTCTCCATAGTGGCTGTACCAATTTACATTCCCAACAGTGTAGGAGGGGTCCCTTTTCTCCACACCCTCTTCAGCATTTATTGTTTGTAGATTTTTTAGTGTTGGTGATTCTGACTGATGTGAGGTTACCTCATTGTAATTTTGATTTGCATTTCTCTAATAATTCAGACTCTTATTCTTAATGATGTGTAGTCTTCCCCAGTGATGAGGACTTTCTGTTCTGAGGAAGGCTGTCCTATTCTTGACAGTATTTAATATTCACTTAGTTAATGTTTGAAGGCTGTGCTGGGCTGTGTTTTATGCTATGTGCTGGGAATATTTTGTCAGCAAGATAGGAGCTTACATTTATATATGTTTGGAAGAACAGAGACAAACTGATAATTTCAAGTAAGGATAAGTGCTGTGAAGGCCAGAGAATGGTAATTTGTTAGTGACTGTGTGTATATTTCAGTTGTCAAAAATTAGTTGCTGTGTTTTTAGAAGTAATGTCGATATTTTGTCTCTTAGCGTTAAGAATTTGCAGTGTGAATTGTGTATGCCATATAGCTTTCTTTGCTTTTAAAGACACTAAAAATTTAATCTGAAAAAATCTGGGAGTCTCAGTATAAATGCATAAGCCAAGTGAAAGATCTGGAAACATATTTTCTTAACTTTTAAGAAAATTTTATTACAGAATTGTACCACATAATGTATTTTAGAGAATAACATTGTTATTAATGCTATAGTTTTCAGTATTGTGTAGACTAGATTTAAAAATCTCTAATTAGCTCACACTGTGGGAGACCAAAAAAATCTATCTCCTGTCAAAAATGTTTTAATGTGAATTCTTTTTTTTTTTTAATGTGAGTTTTTTTGAAAAGCAGGGGGAAAATGAAGCACTTACAGCAGTATATTTGTTCTATGCAAGATTTATAGAAGATTACAGATGATTTTACTGTGCTTTGTAAAAGTTTCCTGGTTGTCATTGTAGGAAAATCATCTCTGATTCTTTATAGTTTTATTGTTGTATGTTTAGAATGAAGTGAATACCCTCTGGATGTTGGAAACATGAAGGGGTATTTTGAATAATAAAGCTTTCTGCAAGAACAGTTTTGTATTTTTATTTTATTTATTTATTTATTTTCAATAAATTTATTTATTTATTTATTTATATTTGGCCGCATTGGGTCTTTGTTGCTGCGCGCGGGCTTTCTCTAGTTGAGGCGAGCGGGGACTACTCTTTGTTGCAGTGAGTGGGCTTCTCATTGTGGTGGCTTCTCTTGTTGTGGAACACGGGCTCTAGGCGAGTGGGCTTCAGTAGTTGTGGCTCATGGGCTCTAGAGCGCAGGCTCAGTAGTTGTGGTACATGGGCTTAGTTGCTTCTCGACATGTGGGATCTTCCTTGACCAGGGCTTGAACCCATGTTCCCTGCATTGACAGGCAGATTCTTAACCACCGCACCACCAGGGAAGTCCTAGAACAGTTTTGTTTCTTAATAACTGATTTTTATTAGGTCGAGAGAAATGAATTATTCAGAGATAATCATAATTCGGTTGGAAATAACATTGCCTTGAATCCAGTGTCCTAGAGTGTAGATTATAAATCTCTTTAACCTTGTGAGACCTTACCACTGGATTATATGATGTTCTTTACCTTTCAGAAATATCCTATGCACATTTTTTGGTGTAAATCAATGTTTTACTTCTTTAAAAACATTTAATTATAGTGTGTAAATTAATGAGTCAGAAATCATTATTTTTGGGGACTTCCCTGGCGGTCCAGTGGTTAAGACTCCACACTTCCACTGCAGGGGGCACAGGTTCGATCCCTGGTCAGGGAACTTAGATTCTGCATTCTGCGCAGTGCAGACCCGCCCCCACCCTCAAAAAAAAAAAAAAAAGAAGGAAAAGAAAACAAAATCATTATTTTTAGGCAGCTGGCAATGGGTGTTTCACAAAGCTACAGTTAAGACTCATTGCTTTAGGGCTTACCTGGTGGCACAGTGGTTAAGAATCCGCCTGCCAGTGCAGGGGACATGGGTTTAGAGCCCTGGTCTGGGAAGATCCCACATGCCACGGAGCAGCTAAGCCTGTGTGCCACAGCTACTGAGCCTGGGCTCTAGAGCCTGTGCTCTGCAGCAAGAGATGCCACCGCAATGAGAGGCCTGTGCACTGCAATGAAGATTAGTCCCCACTTGCCGCAACTAGAGAAAACCCGCGTGCAACAACGCAGACCCAGTGTAGCCAAAAATAAATAAAATAAAAGATTCTCAAACTTTCTGAACCGATAGTTACACATTTTACTTTTTTTTTTTCTTCAAAAGCTGGGTACATTTTGTTTTACATTGCAACCCATACATTATATGTATCGGAGAGTTTTCTTGAACATTGTTTACCCCTTTGTGCAGTGCATCGTTATAGTTTCTATTTCATTTCTTTTTAAGAGCTGGTTGTAAGTTACTAAATTGATTGTATTCTAGCTGCTGTTTAAAAAAGTTGCTGGATTGTACTTTCACAGATGTTGAAATAGCTTTAAATTTTGTTTTATTTTCTGTTTATGCTTGTTGCTCTTTTTTTTTAAGTATAGTTGATTTACAATGCTGTGTTAATTTCTGCTGTACAGCAAGGTGGCTCATTTGTATACATACATACATTCTTTTTTTTTTTTAATATTCTTTTCCATTATGGTTTATCCCAGGAGACTGGATATAGTTCCCTGTGCTGTACAGTAGGACCTTGTTGTTTGTCTGTTCTAAATATAGTAGTTTGCATCTAACCCCAAACTCCCAGTCCATCCCTCTGCCTCCCTCCATTGTCCTTGGTAACCACAAGTCTGTTCTCTATGTCTGTGAGTCTGTTTCTGTTTTGTAGATAGGCTCATTTGTGCCATATTTTAGATTCCACATATAAGTGATATCACGTGGTATTTGTCTTTTTCTGATTTTACTTAGTATGATAATCTCAAGTTGTATCCATGTTGCTGCAAATGCCATTATTTCGTTCTGTTTTATGGCTGGGTCGTATTTCATTATATATATGTACCACATCTTCTTTATCCATTCATCTGTCGACGGACCTTTAGGTTGTTTCCATGTTTTGGCTATTGTGAATAGTGCTGCTATGAACATAGGGGTACCTGTATCTTTTTATTTATTTATTTTTGGCTGTGTTGGGTCTTTGTTGCTGCGTGTGGGCTTTCTCTAGTTGCGACGAGTGGGGGCTACTCTTTGTTGCGGTGTGCGGGCTTCTCATTGTGGTGGCTTCTCTTGCTGCGGAGCACGGGCTCTAGGCGCGTGGGCTTCAGTAGTTGTGGCACGTGGGCTCAGTGGTTGTGGGTCGCGGGCTGTAGAGTGCAGGTGCAGTAGTTGTGGCTTATGGGCTTAGTTGCTCCACGGCATGTGGAATCGTCCCGGAGCAGGGCTCAAACCTGTGTCCCTTGTATTGGAAGGCAGATTCTTAACCACTGTGCCACCAGGGAAGCCCCTGTCCTTTTGAATTACAGTTTTGTCTGGGTATATGCCCAGGAGTGGGATTGCTGGATCATATGGTAACTGTATTTTTACTTTTCTGAGGAACCTCCATACTATTTTCCAGTATAGTGGCTGCACCAACTTAACATTCCCACCAACATTGTAGGAGGGTGCCCTTTTCTCCACACCCACTTCAGCATTTGTTATTTGTAGAATTTAAGAAAAAAAAAAAAAAAAAAAAAAAAGGGGGTCCCGGGGGGGGCGCGGGGCGCCCCCCCCCCCCTGCCGATGCAGGGGACACGGGTTCGTGCCCCGGTCTGGGAAGATCCCACATGCGGCGGAGCGGCTGGGCCTGTGAGCCATGGCCGCTGAGCCTGCACATCCGGAGGCTGTGCTCTGCAATGGGAGAGGCCAGAACAGTGAGAGGCCCGCGTACCGAAAAAAAAAAAAAAAAAAAGATAAATAAATAAATAAATGGCTGTGTTGACTCTTCATTACTGCACGCAGGCTTTCTCTAGTTGCAGCGAGCAGGGGCTACTCTTCATTGCAGTGCGCAGGCTTCTCTTGTTGTGGAGCTCTAGGCACACGGGCTTCAGT